ACCTCTTTCGAGATTTTTATTTATCATGCACTGATGAGATAAGTCAATTCATTTAGTAAATATATATTAAGCACCTTTTATATGCCAGTCAAAGACTGGCCAGGTTCAGGTTCTTGTTGGATATGTTGTCCAGTTAGGAAAACAGACTTTAAGAAATAAACAAATAGGATGTTAGACAGTAATGTGTTTACAAGAAAGAAAAGCAGCAGGGCAATCTGATAGAGTGACTGGGCTGATTGGCGGTGTAGCACTTTCGATTTAGCCATTAGGGAAGAGAGGTGACATTGACATCCAGACATCAATACAGGATCTCTTACTGCCCACACTGACATGGCAAATCCAAGGAACTTTCCCTTTGAAACTTCGGAAGTTCTACCTTTTTGAATCTGCCAAAAATCTTTATGGAAAGCACATCACCTGGGTGAATTCCTATTGGAGTTTGCAATATTTACCCCCCTTCTGTCTTCCTTTTCTAGCATGCTCATTTAAAAGAAACATGTATCTTTTCTCCCTTGGACAGCCCCCAAATGCCTGCCATTTTCAAAGCAAATAGGCCTGCACTGCTTGATTTAACTGGACTTTGAAGGGCAAACTCTGTAGCGGGCTCTCAGCCTGGGATTGTACAGGTTTGGTTTCACTTATTGATCCCATTTATGTCTTACATGCTGTATGTACAACATTTAGTTCTTTATACGGCTTTGTGTTGTGCAGATACTTGGGATAGAAATTTTATGCACAACACTTTTATAGGCAGGTCTGTAAGTATTAAGAGGCAACTTAATGCCTTCATTGGCTTTTTTTAGGAAATGCTCAGGAAATGGTGTATACATTACTGTGGGAGCAAGGTACTGGGATCGGTGAACTGGAATTACAGCATGGTGGTGATCACAGACAGCAGTGTCTGTGGCTGTTTCTTCCCCTAAGTTTGGTTCTACATGAGATTAGTGATCTTCTCCTTTTGTAGACAAAACTTGTATTTCTGTTCATACATAGGACAAACTAGGGTAGCAACAGGAGTTAAGGGGGCGTGTTAGATTGTTTTTGGCCAGCATCAGTCTGATACAGATATCAGAATATCTATAGTGGGCACAGTATCTAGTGCCCACTACAGATATTCTGGCTTTATGCATGTCCCTTGTCTTCCTGGTGCTGTGTGTCCCATAGCATCCTTAGAGCAGAGATGTCCTCAGACTGTATAGACTGACCTGCTCAACGTAGAGTAAATTATAATGATCTCAAAAGGTGATAGAAAGGCATTTGATAAAGTTCACAGTCATTTCTAATTCTAAAAAATAGTTGATAAGGTAGGAGTACATGGATACTTTCTTAATCTTTTTAGAAAGAAATTCCAATCAAAATTCATTATCATGCTAACATTTGAAAGTTCCTAATAAAGAGTCAGACTTCACGGTTGCTTGACATTTGACATTCGGGAAGTACCAACCAATGTTGAAAAGTGAAAAATACTATGTACTAATCCTGAAAAGAAGGAGGAGTACTTACATTTTTAAAATACAGTAATACAGTAAAATACAGTAAATCCACAAGAAAATCACTAGACACAAATTTCAACATGATATTTTCTGTTTTTTAAACAGTACTCTATAAAGAATCCATTTATAATGGCAGTAAAAATATTAAATAATTAGTAATTTATAATAGCAAATAGTGTGCAAAATGGCTTTGAATAACTTAAGGACTGTGTAGGACCTGTAAGAAGACAACTGAAATTAAATATGATTTTAATCAATACTAACAGTACTAATATAACAACTGGTGTTAAAGTTTACCTAGTAAAATCAATGTGTGCAAATAGCTAGAAAAATTCCAAGGGGTAAAATATTAAAGCAGAGTAGATAGGGATACTAGGCCCTGTTTCCAAATACTAAAACATATTATGAAAGGCACAGTTGTTAAAATAGTTTAGTACTGACATTGACATTGACAGTGATCAGTAGAACCAAATGGAAATTTCATAAAAAACCCTAAATGTATAAGTACATTTAGCATATGCTGAAATTTGTTTCTCAAATCAGTAGGGAGAAATGAGTTATTCTTCAACATGTGGGAATAACTGGCTAGTAATTTGGATACGATAAATCCAATCTCTACCTTGCTTTTATATAAGTATAAAATCACAAATGGACCAAATAAGCAAATATTAAAAATGAAATTAGAAACATGATAAAAACATCAGTGAATTTTAGAAATTAATTTGATCAAGGATAGGTCTGTCTAAATGTGACTGACACAAGTCTTAAAAGCCAAGAAAAAGAGATTGATATATTTGATTTCATAAAAATTAAAATATCAAAGTTCATTAAACAAGTGCTAAAAATATGCTAGGAGTAAGGGACTGAGTATTTGCATAAAGAGCATATTTGATAAACAGCAAATGTCCTTAAAAACCTAGAGTTCTTTTATAAATTAATAAAAAGATGAAGATAAATGTGTAAAGTATACAAGCAATCCATAAATATATAAAAATAGCCAGGAAACACACAAGGATGTTCCATCTTCCTGATTAATGAAAAAATTCAAATTAAAGCAAGATTCTATTTTGAATCTGTTGTTTGTGGAAGTGTAAACTGATGTATCCTTTTTGGAAGCAAAATTTGCAGTATCTGTCAAAATTGAAAATGCTTATGTCTTTGGATCTAGCAGTTAACACTTAGAAGAATTTATGATAGGGGTTACTCACAGATATATACGTGAAAGAATGTTCATTGTTTCATTGTGTGTTGTAAAAATTTGAAAAAGGGAGATAAATGTTTCATCAGGTGACAGGTGTACTAAATTATCGTACATCTATATGCAAGTATTTAAATAAAATTAGATATTTATGTTTTGGTGTAGAAGGATGTGCAAGATATTATAGGTAAGATAGCTTATATCACAATGTCTATATTTTATTTAAGTGAAACATTTTAAAGTTAGTAATGTGAAGCTTCTGTCTGCATAATAAATATATTTGAAAGACTTGAACAATAGCAGTCTGGGGAGAGGAATTGGGAGGTTAGAAGGAATAGGGTAGAGGAATTTTTGCTTTTTACTTTGCATCCTTCTGTACTGCTTCAGGTTGTTCTTTTATTAAACGCAGAAATTTGTACTAGCATTACGCTTTCAAGTTTTTAAAAACCAAAGCAGTGTCAGAGTTTAAAATTGTACCAAAACATAATTATATTGCATGGGATTTTATTCCTCATAATGGAAAATACAGAACAAGGATCCTTTCATTTTGTGGTCAAATAACATTTATTTAGAATTTGAGAATAACATTAATTGCGTGTCCTGAGTGTTAATGGCTTGTGGTGTGCAACCCTGTCCAGTTCAGAGGTTTTATAAAAGATGTAACAGCACTTCCTATTTCAGAGACTTCCCTAACCCCTCTTCTACCACCATACTCTAGACTTGATTTAATCAGTAGGCTTTATCACAGTCTAAAAGGAATGAAAGTTTTCCCTCTAGATCTTGCTGTAATTTTGATGGGCAACAGAGCAGAGTTTCTCACTACACTTGTGCATTAGAAATGCCATCCGTCAATTGTAAGAGGTGCCATTCCCTGCACCAGAATCGGTGTGAGACCCATATCACAGTTGCCCTCCACAATATCATTAAAGCCCTCCTGTCTGCAGTCCCTCCACATTATAGTTTTCCAGTCTTATATTCAACAGTGTGTGGAATTTCTTTAGCTAAGAACATCTGAAGGCTATTCCAAATCATGGTCTTGCCAAGAAAATGATCTCTACATTTGATATGGTAAAATGACAAGTGGTTGTCCTCTTCCCAAGAATTCAGATATATACAGGAAAATTCAGATGTATAAATCCCAGTCATTTCTTCCACAACCATACAGAGGTAAGTCTTCAGCATTGAGTTAGTTGAAACCCTTAGTGTGGCTGGTTGTCAGTAATCCTTGATCAGAAAATAGCATCTCCTAGAAGCAAGTTATACTTGAACATTGTTAATGTGATTTTGTTAAAAGCCTTTTGGAGTCCCGGTAGAAGAAAATCATTACCTATGATGCATTCTTCTGCAATACTCTATTTTTTAGGTGTGTTTTTCAACATTTCCCCCAAAAGTTATCTTCTCCCAAACTAACTCCTAACATGCCATTAATAGGATCTTTGCAGTTTTAAGCCTTCTTAGGTTAAAACTTCTAAGAGTTAATTGTGATCTTTTGGCAAAGATCAAGAATAGAAAGGAAGCTCTGTTTATTTAATTTAAAATCTAAGGCCAGCTTTATTCTTAGGTTTCTCTTCAGCCTCACCTCTACTTCAATGTCTAGTTTCTATAGCAACTGAGATAGGTGCTGGGTCAGAAAAGAGAGATTTTTTGATGTAAAGAAATTTGGTTTTTAACCTGCAGGGGGAAGATAACAGGCAGCACCCTCACAGCCTTTTCCGGGCTGGTGCCTGCATTCTGTTTCCAGGAATTCCGCATTTTTTTCGTGGAGAGGCCAGGCATTTGTCTCTCTTCTCACAGAGCCTCAGAAAAGACTGCTGCATCTCTGCTCAACAACTTAATCACAGTCAATTTAACTGATTAATCAAATCAAGGCAGCTAAGAGAGAGAACTCTTCTTCTGTGGAAAAAGTGTAATGACCAGGGGAATTATTTTTTTTTTAAATGGAATGCCTCTGAGAATTATGTGAATTGTCTCTTCTCTTAACCTTGGATTCTGTAACAATAACTTTCTTTTTTAATTGTTCTCTAGTTCAAGTGCAGTTGGAAAAATCTCAAATGGTACTTTTTTTTGCATTCTCTATCCACCTGGATTAGGTGTGGACACTAGACCTCTTGTATCACTTAGGCGGGGAGATGTTGCAGGTGGGAGAAGTATTGCCAGACACTAAAAAGACAAGGTCAAGGACGTGGTGCAAGTGCTTAATGTTAGATCTTCAATGATGCGTATAGGACTTTGACTAGAAACTAATTTTCCTTTTTTAAAAAAGTTAAGTTGTTAATGCTGAGGAAGATAAATGCTTTTTTATATTATAGGAACTACCTTCAGTTGAAGAACTCACTGTTACTCTGCCTGACGATATTGAATTAAAGCCTCTTGGGATGGTTTCAAGCATTATTGAACAATTAGGTATGTAAATAATTTTATTAATAAAAAAGTATTTTATGTATATACCCAAACAGTGCTCTAATAATCAAATCAGAGATTTATGGTTAGTGAATTTTGAACAGATAAATTCAGTTTTACTTACATTTCTCCCACCTAAGTACTAACCAGCTTAGCTTCCCGACCCTGCTTAGCTTCCCGACCCTGCCTAGCTTCCGAGATCAGATGAGATCAGGCACGTTCAGGGTGGTATGGCCATAGAGCGTAAGTACATTTTATTTATGGAAATTTAAAGACTCCTTTTACTAACATAGTTTTCCAGAATTTTCTTGGATGTGCAATATTCATTTTCTGTTGCTGTTAAATTACTAAAAATTTTGTGACTTAAAACAATACAACAAACTTATTATTTAAGAGTTTTTTTGGGTCAGCAGTCCAATATGGGTCTTATGAGTTAAAATCAAGGGGTCCGTCAAGACTAAGTTGTTTTGTGGAGGCGCTAGAGGAGGATCCAAACTTCCTTTCCCTTTTGGCTTCTAGAGGTGGCCTGCACTCCTTGGCTTGTGACCCCCTTCCTTCATCTTCAAAGCCAGTCATGTAGCTTGTCTCTGAACACAGCCTGGAAAGGTTCTCTGCTTTTTAAGGACTCCCTTGATTGGGCCTTCATGTGTAATCGACGATCATTGTTCCATCTCGAGGTTCTTAACCTTAATTAATCACATCTTCAACAACAACAAAAATTTTTATTATAAAGTAACATTCACAGGTTTAGGGATTGGGGTATTGATTACCTTTTTTGTGGGGAGGGCATTATTCTGCTTACTGCCTTTGATTTTATTTTATAATCATGTAAATTAGAAAGGTCTGTGATATAATACTGATATTCATACCATGAAATTTGAAGCTCTTGGATATAAGACAACTAGGTATTATGGATTTCCTTTTAGCTCTGAGAGATGGGTATCAAAAAGTCTTGAAGTTAATTCTCATAGTGAGATACATGTGAGAATAGAACTCAGCATTGACAGTTTTAGGATTTTTGAACTGGGAAAAAGACATAGATCATCTACTGGCCATCTTAGTTTACAGGACTTAAGGAACACAGAAAAATTTGTCCCTTGCTTTTATGATTGGTTGTATAATGAATCATTGGTAGAAATGAGACATTACCTTTATCTTTTTTTATTGTATTTTTTTCCATTGCCATTTAATCCCCTTGTATTCCCCTCCCCACCAGCAATTACTACACTGTTGTCCATGTCCATGAGTCCTTTTTCCTTTTGCTCAGTCCCTGTATCTCCTAACATCTCTGCCCACCCCTCCACCAGCTGTCATCCTGCTCTCTGTCTTTGAGTCTGTCCTCATTTTCCTTGTTAGTTCAGTTTGTTCATTAGATAGCATGTATGAGTGAAATCATATGGTATTTGTCTTTCACTGCCTGGCTTATTTCACTTAGCATAATGCTCTCTAGGTCCATCCATGCTGTCACAAAGGGTAAAATTTTCTTCTTTCTTGTAATCTTTTGACCTTCTAACAGTGTACGTATCAATGTTTTAAAAAATTAATATAGATAAATTTATAGTTTTGTAATTAATCAAAACTGATTAAAGTGGAACATTTTTATAAAAATTATAGTTAATAAAACTACATAATTCTCAAGTTATTACATTAGTTTTTGAGTCATCTTATGGTATTTAATAATATGCATAAGTAAGTCAAACAGGTAGTATGAGTTGAACATTTATTAGACTTAATGTATGTAGGAAAAATATAAGTGATAATGTTTATCCTTAGTGAATAAAATGTTAATATATGATACACATGAAATAATGCTTTTTAAAGATACTCTTTTTACTAACACATACTAAATGACTAATAAAATTCTCAAGCTGGTGGGAATAAAGATTGAATGAATCAAAATCAGCACATGTTACCCTGTTTTGAAGTCCTAAAATATCTAACATTATTTGGACCAAGTTACAAATAAGAAAATAAAGCATTAGTATGCTAGGCAAAAAATATCTATGAATTCAATAAGAGCCCAGAGGTGAAAACAGAGGATTTAGTTTTGTACTCTGCATTTCTTACAGAAGTTGTATTGGTTTGCCTGCCTGCCTGCCTGCCTTCCTTCCTCCCTCCCTCCCTCCCTCCCTTCCTTTGTCCCTCCCTTCCTCCCTCCCTCCTTCCCTCCCTCCCTTCCTCCCTTCTTCTTTTTAATCTGGAAAATACAAGAGGCAATTTAGATATTATCTATCTAGGAGAAATGGAGAGATTTCCTGAAATTAAGGATGCATGTACTAGTACATACTTTCACAGTATTGATACACTTTGAAAGTTTTTATCAGTGTGTGGTAGAAACTCTTTGTACCCAGTACCTGGAACTGTGTGCCACCTAAAATTATATTACTAAGAGAATGGGTCTTGTAGGCCATGGGAACGCAGTCACTAATTGTGTTATGGGGAGAGCACTGACACTAGGGATCCAGACTCTAGTGATGCTGGGTATGGAACTGGCCACCAATACTATTAATCTCTTGAGTCCTGTTTTCTCCTCTTCCTTTAAAATGAGCCTGTTGGATTAGGTGATTTTCAGTTTTCATGTAATTTGGCTCTTTGAGAAGGGGATTAAATAGCAGAGATGTTTGAGAATGAATTCTTAGTGCTCACTATCACTATCTTTATTCCAGAAGCAGATCTAACTAAAAATATGTTGACTCGTGATCTGTTACTTAAGTGTGTATTCAGAATTTAGAAGCACTAGCTGCTGCCTACCCTGCCCCCTGCTCCCAGCCCCTGATACCATCTTTCCCCTGGTCTGGGGGCTCCCTAGTTCCTCACAGATCATCTCACCCCACCCTTACGTTTAGGGTACATGTGAGCTTGCAGATGGTAAGGACCCTGCTCCCTCCCTTGCAGTCCATCTAGCAACTGCCCCCTTCCTGCCCTGGGGGCCCAGGTTGTAGATGTTGTACAAAGGGTCTAAATCCCTTTTGTGTGTGTGTGTGCACTTTTTTACTTAAGAGGATGGGATCCCAGGTAGTACCTGCCCCCTCCTCCCAATAAGTCTGTTAGTGTTAGGGGAAAAATTAGTTGGGATATAGTTGAAATTTTTGAATGAATTTTAATAATCTGAACTAATATATTTTTTCTAGTGGAGGAGGCATTATCTATGTAATGTGACAAAGTATTCTTGCTTGTTGCTCTGATTTTCTAAGAACCTATCTTTTCCCGCCCCCACCCCCACCCTTTGCTATGGTAGACGACTGTAGTAGATTGGTTGTTTAACATACGTGGCACTTACAAGAAGTGGAATAGGCTAGACAAGTGGAATATTGCTCTTGCTTTTTGAGAAAAGAAGTGATGAAAATTATTGTGAACTGTACCATTTTTTATCTGTTCAGAAGAAGATGCTTTTGTGAAATTAACTTTTTCATATAACAATAAGTAGTCATAGAGAAGAATTTCTACTGTGAGAAAGAAGACTAATTTCTTCTAAAGCATGAGTTTTGTGACTAAATTACACTTTTGGGGGTAAAAATTGCTTGAGAAAATGTGCACAGCTTGAATTTGTTGACTTTTAATGGGTGAGTCAAATTTTCTGAGATTTTATACTTTTTCTTTCTTAGAATTGTAGCTTTTTGTATTAAATAAAAACACGTAGAAACTGTTTCCCTGTGCAGTATGGTATTAAATAGACTTTGCTCATCTAAGAGGAATAATGACTGAGGCATATTATTTTACCTTAAATTTCATATTAAATTATGTTGGAACTAAAGCCTAAATACTCATTTAAATTTTATATTATCTTCTGATTAAATCTTGAAATAATCTGTTTTGTTTTATTTTTCAGTAATAATCGAGTCTGTGACGAAGCTACCTCCAGTTAATGAGGAGACTGTGATTTTTAAAAGTGATAGGCAGGCAGCAGGAAAGGTTTGTAAAAAAGTTGAAATTCTACAAATCATTGTTTGTTTGTTAATTGTTTTTTTTTTACTTTCTCTGTCATAAAGAGTTTGTTAATTTTAGTAGACGAACCGTCTAGAGCTCTCCTATTATACATTATTTTAATACATTCTTGATTTTCTTCTATACTTTGTGTATTGGTTTCATACTGCCTATTACTCTTTGCTGCTTGCATTATGAAATACACATGAGTAGAATTTTTTTAATACTTTGTCAGGTACTTTGCTAGGCAGTGGCTCTGCTTACCGAGGAGGACCCAGTTCTCTGCTCTGCAGGTACTCAGAGTTAAGTGCAGGAGACTTTTTCCACCACACAGTAGTTTTGAAACTTGTGGTTTGTGAGTCCCATTGGGTAGTGGCTCTCAGAACGCTTTAGACTTTGGTTTCCTTAAGTGGAAAAAGACATCAGTGATAGCAATAAAGTTTCACTGTAAGTACATTTGGGGAATTATGAATATATGTAATTAAGTAGCCACCATAACGTTGGGTTTCTTTCAACATCTTGAATGTTGAATTTTTCTCTAATAGCTAACTTAGATAATTTTAACTTTAATTCACATTTCTTATATCCTCTAATACATTTGCATTCTTGTTCCTATAAATGTGACTAATAATGTTAATATTCAGCTCTTTTGTCATTGACTTTGACAGGAGTCAGATAAAAATGTAGTGTTCACACCTCTACCTCTAGCTATGTGACATACGTCCAAAGGGAAAAATTAAACCAATTTCTAAATTTCACATAGAAAGCTTTGTAAATTCAAGAGTTATGTCTTTCAGAAATATGTAATTATAAATCTAAGTATCTGAAATGATTCCCCAAAATAATGGTGGGAGTTGGAAGAGGATTGAAAGTATTATTAGTTAATCCAGCGACCGAAAGTGAAATTTGGATCTGTTTTAGATCTTTAGAATATCTTGTCTAGACACTAGACTAGTTGACCTTCAGTGTCAAACCCTTGCATATCCTTTCTGTTCCCTCCACTCTTCGATGAGTAACAGTAATCACGAGCCCCAGTGGTAAATATTTTGTGTATTTTAAAAAAATTACTGAAATTATGTAAGGAAGTGGAATTATCTTCATTTACTCAAAAATCACACAGTTAAAAAGGAACAAAATTGATTTTACAACCCAGTTGGCCTGTCGGGTTCATTTTCTTTCTACCTTTCTCCCCATTCCCACTGGCTTAATGAGAACAGCTTTGGATTTTTATTTGTCTTTTCCTTCTAATAATGATTTATTTCTCTTGAGAAATAATGAAATTCTCCTTTTAATGGTCAGTTACAGAATATCAGAAGAAATGGCCAGTTTATGCCACCCATTATCCCTATAGAACATGAATTTGTTGGTTGTTTTGCATTTAGTTTTCAGTATTTCTTAGAGTAGGTTTTGTTTTTGTCATTATTGTTCATTTTACTTTTTAATAAACCCAAACCATGAAACCCTTTTTCCTGTCCATTATCATTGGATAAGAATTTTTACTGACCGTTTTTGAAAGAATGTATTACAGGCTTGATTGCTAGTACGTGATGGTTTTCTGAAAGTCTCCATATTATAAGTGTTTTTTCCTCCCTTAGTAACTTGGGTAACTACTTGTGTAATACACATGGTGATTGAAATGATTATTTGACTTACTCAGTGAATTAGAATATTCCCTACTTCTATTTTTTATTTTATTAAAGATTTTATTTATTTATTTTTAGAGAGGGGAAGAGAGGGAGAGAAACATCAATGTGTGGCTGCCTCTTTCATGCCCCCAATTGGGGACCTGACTGGGAATTGAACTGGCGTCCCTTTGGTTCACAGGATGGCACTCAGCCCACCTAGACATAGACACACCAGTCGGGGCTTTATTTTATTTTTATTTATTGTAGAGAGAGAGAGGGAGGGAGGGAGGAATAGAGAAGAAAAAAGGAGAGAAAGAAACATTGATTTCTATTGTTCCATTTACTTATGTGTTCATTGGCTGCTGCTTGTGTGTGCCCTGACTCGGGACAAACCCACAATCTTGGTATATTGGGATAATTCTCTAACCAACTGAGCTACCTGGCCTGGGCCATTTTTATTTTTATTGTTATTTTTTTTACTGTCTTCATTTTTATTAATGTGGGGAGTCAGATAGTATACAGTGATTGATAAGAGATAATTCTGGATGGCTGTGGAGGTACATTTCTCTCTTTCCCTTTGGGTAGTTTAGTGCAAGCTGGATCAGCTGGGAAGATGCGAGGCCTCTGACTGATGGCATTCTTTGAAGGTTGCTTTCAGAGCAGCAGCATGCATATCTTGGCCTTCCATGTGCCCAGCCCCCCAGCATTGTTCCTGGGCCTGGAGATTCCTTGGTGTGCTTCCTGTTACCCAGAGAAATGGGAGTTACATGATCCCTTCCTCTTTGTGGAAAGGAGAGGCTGAGACTTGCCTTCTTGAGCACCTTCCTGGTGTGCAGTCGGCTGACTCAGGCAGGCCCCCAACCGCAGGAACTTTCTTCATGTTGCAGACTGATCATCTAAGCTCGGCCTGTGCTGTAGAATGAGAATTTCGGGGACTGAACATACTTTTACGTTCGGCTCGTCAGTGTTTTTTTCCTCAACTGACCATACGGTGTATTTGTACTGTGTGGTAGTAGTGTGTGTGTTTGTGACCCCTTCATGGGGCAGGAATCCTGTGAAGTTTTTCAGCAGAAAGGTACTGTGTTTGAGTAGGAGATGGGAAGTATTAAAAGCTAGAGCCAAGTGAAAGGACACTTAGAACAGCACCACTCAAGTGATGGGCAAGTACAAAACATTAGTTGGATTCAGTTTTTATGTGAGTATTTCTATGAAATATAAACTATTATTTAAGATATAAAGAAGGTAGGATTGTAAATACCCCTTGCAGAGCATTTGGTCCACGCTAAAAGGTCCTTGGTGTTTGTTCCTGTTCTAAATATCCACACTTAGAAAATGTCCCTGGGTTCAAATACCTCACTACATTTATTTCTACTTTGAGTTTACACAGTTAATACACAAAAAATACTGTCATGTAGTATTGGTCCAATAATTGTCTTTTGGCTATACTGCCAATGATAATTCTTCTTGCCTCAGTAGCCTAGCCAGTAGTGGCACATGGGGTTAGGTAGGTGGGTTTAAATTACTGCGAGAGTGGGATTTATGTTAGCTGCGAATCAAATGTCTCCATGGATGTTTAGTACAGGACCAAATGTTTGCTGATCCAACATGGAGTGTCGGTGTATGCCATCCACTGATTCTGTGACGCAGCTTCCTGTTGCCTACCATTTGCTGTATTTTTTCGTGTAAAACTACATTGTAGCTGTGGCTTATAAAGACTTCAGATCTTAAAAATAGGCAAGTAGGTGTGCTTTGATTTTATCCAAGATTCTGAATGTCACTTAGCAGTCTCTGCGTAAACCTGAAGCTATTAAGGCATTTCCGTGGTGCAATCGTTTCTCACAGTTAGGAGGTGGAATCGCGCCATCTGGGAAACAAGTCCTTGGGAAGCAGCCTAAGGTGCCAGGGTGCAGACAGCGATTGCTGTGCCTTGTACTAATGGGTTCGTAGGAAATTTTTTTTAAAGTTACTGTCTCTCTCCAAACTTAAAGAATTGGATTTGTCTATATTCATCAAGGGAATTAAAAAAAATAAATGTTTTAAGATTTTTTTTTAAAAAGTGACAAATAAGATGGTGTATTTCTTAATCTATGTAAGTAGGCCAGTAAGAATTGTGTTATGTTTCTTCTGTCCTTTGCACTAGTTGGAAGAGAGAAGTCTACCTTTTTTATTGAAAACCTTTTAAAACAAATTTTTCACTAATTCTTAAATTATCTGTTTGCTTTTCAAGTAGAAAAGCTTAAATTTTCCATGCTATTAGTGTTGTTTTAGAATGCATGGCATTTAAATTCTTTTGACTATTGATAGTTGTTTTTAGATTAATCATATTTTCAGAGTGTAGGTACCCTAGTGTATGAGCTGTTTTATGTCTTACTGAAAGTTAATAACAGCTTGAATTGTGTAGTAAACAGCATCAAGTGGAACGTTTACTGTAAAAAATCTAGAATGTAATAAAACAGGCACTTTCTATGCAGTTGGTTTAACATGGTCCAAGCTATTTGGAAAGTGATTTAGTAATTTACATCAAGAGTTTTAATAATCATATTCTTGGCTCCAATAATTCCATCTGTGACAAATCAATTTTTAGGAAATCTGAAATACAAAAATTTACATTTAAATATATCATGGCATCATTTATTATGTTGAACAGATTGGATGCTGCCTAAATGTCCTGTAATATAAGATGAGTTAAACAGATTGTGCTGAGTCTATAAAGGAATGCTATATAGTCACTGAAATGGCACTTAGGAAGCATATTTATAACATGGAAAAGCTTAATGCACTTTAGGTTTTAAAAGTGAGCACCGTACAAAAACTATAATATCTCAAACTTCATTACTATAAGAAGACTGGAAAAATCTACAGTGACACTGGTCATTGTCTTTTTTCTATAATATACTTATATTTCTTATCAGGGACATTATTTTTAAAAATTCAGGTATCTGTTTTGAGGAGAGTGGGAGACACAGAGGTCACCTTTAGTCACTCGTAGAACACTTGCAGAGATAAAGCGCGTCTGTGCTAAAAGCAGCTTCTTCACATACACACTGGGAGCCGTGTAGCGCCATTGTGTTTTAAGAAATAGTCAACTTGAAGTTCAAGTCTACTTTACTCTTCTTTGAATTAGAAAAAGTTGTGGTTTAATTTTATAAAAATGTTAACCACTACGTGGAAACAGCAGAAGTGATTGAATACCTATTGAAGTGTGCTTTCAAGTTTTGTGTCATAAAATTCCAAATGACAGGCAGCATTTTATTTTTCAAAAATTATCAATTGTCATTTTTTCTTCATATCTTACAACTTGAATGAGCAATAAAACAAAAAATTCATAATTTGCATGTAGTTGGTACCACCAGAATGATTTAAATTTAGCAAGGGCAAATTTGTTATACTTGTTTTCAATTCATAAAAAGGAAATCTGGAAAAAGCTGATGTATTTAAATCCAAATATGAAAATTTTATGCATATGCAAAGATGGGTTAAATATAGTTTTATTTTATTCCTCGGGCGTTGAAAAAATTACCTTGTATAACAATTATTAGTGTTTACTATGTTAAATATTACTAACCTTTTGAGTCATTATTTACATGTTAAAGGAGGCCTTTATGTTTCTTCTATTTTACAGATATTTGAGTTATTTGGACCTGTTGCACACCCATTTTATGTATTACGGTTTAATTCTTCAGAGCACATTGAGAGTAAAGGCATTAAAATAAAGGATACTATGTATTTTGCTCCATCAATGAAAGACTTCACTCAATATGTGTTCCCAGAAAAACAGTAAGTACTTCTTTTCCCCTTACCATCCAGTATGTGTGTGTTTGTTGTTTGCTTATTTAACCTTTATATTTTAGGAATAATTCTCAGCAATGGTAGTTTTAAACGATAGTTGTCTTCCAGACTTCATCTGTCTTCCTATTAACACCTCTGGAAGCTACAATTTGTTATCAGGTTTTACAGCTAGAGATCATTATATATTTGGGCCATATAAACTTGCTGAATTCTGATTCATCACATTTTTCATTATCTACACTCTTTTATATACATGGTACTTCGTATTAGTATTACCGTTTAAAAATTCTTTCCCATTTTAAATAAAATTTTCATTGGATTAAATTTATAGGCTTGACTAAAGAAAATAAGGAGATTTCTGGTTGCTTATAAATTGTAAAGTTATAGAAGAGACAATTAAAATGTGTCCCTGAAAAGTGTGTACTAAGTGGCGAGAAACAGGGTTGACTTAACTAATAAATCATTGCTCTTCATTTTGTCTGTAATTAATGCTAAAAGATGCCTGTGGAATGTGGGTAGTAATATTTCTCCTTATTTATACTCCCACTGGGTAATTGTGTATTTTCCTTATGTTAATTGTGTTGCCAAGTATTAGCTGTAAGGCTGTTTATGTCAATAAAACTTACAATTATGTAATGTAATTTTTACATAAAAGAATGGCATATGAGGGGAGCCCTCTAAAAAACCAAAATTATCTTCTGGAGGGCAGGACCTGGTAGTACAGACTTCTCCTGCTTAGGTGAGTGTTCTAGGAACCCATCTGTATCAGTGAACCAGCTGGTGGTGTAAGAGGCTGCATTCAGCTTCAGTGCATTTATATAAATGGGCTTGTTGCATGTGCCCATGTCATGGTGGGTGATTTACAAGCACACTGGCCCACACCCTGCTCAGTGTTCAGGTTTTTTGACCAAAAATGTGTTCCACCTTTCCTATTCACTCTAGCAACTTCTTTGTTTATTTGTTTCCCTGGATGAAAAAAGTCCTTAAAGGGAAGTGTTTTGCTGTATGGAAGAGGTGAAACAAAAAAATGGCAGAAACACTAAAAGACATCAAAATTGACAAGTTCAAAAACTTTTAAGCTGTGGAAAAAAAAGTCTCAATAGGTGTATTGCATCAAATTGAGAGTACTTTGAAGGTGACTTTGAAGTGTAAACATGTAGGAAAAATGCACAATTTTTTACAAATAAAATCTGGGTTTAGTTTTTTTTTTAAGTCACCTCTCGTATAGTTCAAATAGAATAACTTTTTTTATAAAATTTAGTTGAATGCTTCAGAAGATGTAATGGATATGAGCCACTAAAAATATTGTCAAATTAGGAGTGGAAGAAAAGTCACAAATATTGGGAGAGGGAAGGGGGATCTTAAATCCAAAAAGACTTTGCATTCAGTTTGACACACAAGTCTCTTCCAGGTCTAGTTCATAGGTGAAAAAATTAGGGGATGTGGTTTTTGTAGAACACATTATATACAAAGGGAACTTCAAGCAGTGAGTAGTATTAGTGCTATGTTAAAAGTACCAGTCGTAAGAATGCTTCTGTACCACGTACATATTAAATCCAGTCTCTGAATTTCATTTAATATTTCAGGTATGAAAATTTTGTTCCCGATAATTTATTCAACTCATGCTTAACAATGCACATAATTAACTGAAGGAACGTTTTACCCAAGTTATTCTTCAGGCTCTGCAAGGTTAATTTTTCTAAATGACTGCTGGCAAAAAGTGAGTTAAATAGGCAGTACAGTTATAAAGATTTTAGTGTGCTTTAAAATCATGCCTTAAGTAACAGGCATTTCACTCTGCTTTGAATATCAAGGTGTTGCTGTGGATATGTCATATGTTTGGCTTTTGCCAAATAAAGTACTTTAACTTAGATAAACTGGAAAGGTTTTCTGCATTGTTTTTTAAATAGATTTGAAATATTAGGAGCAGTCTTTGTTTTTGATGTGCAAGAACAACAACTTTGTCCCGGGGAGAAACAACAACAGTAAACTGAAGAATTGGGAAGTAGGCCTCCTCCACAGAGGCCCACTGTCGGAGCCCGTTCTGTTCAGGACCGTGTTTTGGTGTTGGTCTTGGGAGCTCAATGGTGTGCTTTGCCTTTGAGTTAGAAAAGTTCACCTCTTCTCCAGCTTATCCGCCTCTAGTAAGGCTATTTTAATCTTAGCTCCCCATGATCTTACTCTCTGTGAAAAGTGGTTTAAAATGTTGCTTGATCTTTTCTTCAGCAGATTTTGATTTTCAGTACTAAATGTACCATTTGGGGCACTTTTCTCAGTTATGTCTTTAAACTCCAGGCCAAGGGCACTGTAGCCCATGAGATGGTGGATGGGTGGATGGTGGAAACGGGAGTACTGGAGCTACGTGAAATGTATGGGTGTAAGAAGGTGATTACTGAATAGCAGCTTTTAAGTGGTGGAAAAATCGTTGCTAATGCCTGATATACAGTCCAAATTCTAAATCAAAATTTCAGAGCAAACTTAATGATTTCTGTATTGTGCCAGCTTCTGACATCTGTGAATTGATTTTTATGGATTATAGATTAATGGATTAATGATTTTAATGAACTCCTGAGAATCCCATATTTTTGAGATCTAGTTTAAAGCAGTGAGGACTGATATTTCATAATATTTTAATATAATCAAATAACAGGGTATAATCAAACAATGAAATCATAAAGGTTAATGAGACAAAATGAGCTTTCATAAATTATAATTATAATAGATATATGTATTTTTGTTGGTCATAGATTATAAAACTGCACTAAAAATAATTCATGCTTGTGATTTGTACTGTCCTTCAGAATTTTCAAAACTCCCCCTCTTCCCTAAACTAGATAACCTCTTACCCTCTGCTTTGAGAATCACTGTTGGGCCTTGGTTACTCATGCAGTATTGTTAACGTTCCTTAGGTAAACTGAGGAAAAAGAATTTCATGTTGTTATCTCTACCATTAAACCTATGAAATCTTAGACAAGGAAATACCGCATATTTATTTTTTGTGTGCTTAGCACATGGAACAGTCTCTGACCTGTAGCTGGTGTAGAATAAGCATTTACTGAAGTGAGTTTTATGAAAGGAGCTCAGGTGTCCTGAGAGTACCCCAGAGTATACCCCAGTCAGCATCTGGATGCGTGTGAACTGCAGAACGACCTTCCCCCGCACACCACAGCCTCGGCCTCTTGTGACACTCCAGTCCTAAAACGTCCAGAGGTTTTGTTTTTCTTACGAGCTTCCCACATTTTCTGAAACTAGGTACGGACAGAAAAATGGTCCTTTATTTTTTGCTCTTATTTTCATGTATATTGCAGAATTAAGAGTTGAGCTTATGTCTTCTACTTTATTATAAGTGATTAACAACTTTAACAAGTAGTGCTTTGAATTTTTGTTTTCTCTTCCTAGGGAAAAGGGATCAGATGCATCATGGGAGAATGATCAGGAACCACCACCAGAGGTAAGGTTAAGTCCGTTTACACAATATTTTAGAAAGTAAGGCAGAACTTAATCTTATAAATTCACTCCTGACTTTAAGGAGGTCCGTAATGCTCCTCACACGCATTCTCTGAGCCGTGCACTCTCTCCTTTCCATGGGGCTGTTGTATACCTTTCAGTAAGAATTTGTGATTGATCATTTAAAGAAATATGTTTAGTCACATTTGAATAAGTATTAGGTTATCATTGTCCTTGTAATTTCCTATTTTTAAATCAGTTTTTTGACACATGGTAAAGGCAGAATTGTCATTATTTTAAAAACTGTTATTCTTCAATTTAGTGATTTTAATATGTGAGATATGGAGATGTTTCTTAATGGTGCTTTTAATAAGCTTCCTTTCTTTTGGAGGTACAAAATCCCTAGAATCTATCTACCTCTCCATTTTTTATACTATATAAATTACCTTCTTAAGAATAGAGTTCTTTATTTTCTTATTTGAATCTATGTTAGCAAGACTTTTTTATGTTTCATAGTAGCTTGATAAACAATCTGTCTAGAGATGTGGGTAGAATCAGTTATAATCTGTAGAATTATGTGATTTCACTTTTCATGGAGATGTTTAAGGATATTTCCTTTAAGTTATTAAAAAGAAGAAATGATGGCAATTAGTGTATATATTTTTTGAAAACAGTATGCGTTTATAGAGTGTAATATATAATTATTATAAGTGAGAGTTTTTATTATGTGCCTAGTAGTTTTGAAGTTTCTCAGTATTATAAATTCTAGGTATGTGTAGATTTTACTTTGTTTATTTTAGATGATCTCAAGCAATGTTGAAGAATCTTATTCTGTATTAATTTCTGATTTTGCCGAGATGTGAATCAGCTAATGCTCACTTAGAGAGTCACTGAACCAGTGTGAGTCACTGAAGCGAGAGTAATCTTAGTTTAGTGTCTGTATTACTGTGGGGCTTTATTTTCACAAAAGTCTCTGTTTAAAATTTCATTAGTTAAATGATTTTTTCTCTTTTTTATTGTTGTTCAAGTATAGTTCTCTCCATTTTCACCCTACCACACCCCCTACCCCACCCATCCCCACCTCCTACCCTCAAACCTGTCTTAAAAGATATTTCTTGTGAAATGCATATATTCTTTTTTTTTTTTTAAGATTTTATTTATTTTTAGAGAGGGAAGGGAGGGAGATAGAGAGAGAGAAACATCAATGTGCGGTTGCTGGGGGTTATAGCCTGCAGCCCAGGCATGTATCCTGGCTGGGGGTCGAACCTGCGACACTTTGGTTCGCAGCCCACGCTCAATCCACTGAGCTACGCCAGCCAGGGCTTAATGCATATGTTCTTATACCTGTTATTTCATACCTAAGCATTAAACTTGCCAGTTTTGGTGATGTTAACTGTTTATAAAACTGGTTGGATCAGGCTAATTATAAGATTAAATCTGAGCATACTGCATGGTGCTTTATTTCCCTAAGAAGTTGACTGTTATTTTCATAATATGGAAAACTCTGAAATTCAAAAGTTTATTTTATCATGATGACATTTTGTAGTTTAGAATTATGGCCTGGTGTTAAATGTAGATTAATTAGAATTTGGAATGTATGGGGTTTAAACGTTTTAAAACAATTATGCTGTGAAAATAGAAAACGTTGGGCTTGCATAAAGGAACTGAAATTTACTTACAGGGAATGCAGCTCATTCATCTTCATATTCACTTCTAACATATGAATCCTTAATTTGTGATTGAATAAATGTGTTTAATGAATGCATACTTAATTGGTGTACGGGAAGATGGGAAATTTTCTCTGATTTTAGGAGGTGATAGCAAAATACTGACAAAATTGTCTCTAAAATAGTCTATTGCTAGTTAAAATCTTTTTTTAAATATTTGTTTATTGTTGTTCAAGTACAGTTGTCTCCATTTTCCCCCCTCCACGCCCCTATCCCAGCCACCCCCACCTCCCATCCCCCATTCTACCCGCCTTTGACTTTGTCCATGTGTCCTTCATACTTGTTCCCTGGCATCCCTTCCCCCTTTGCCCCTCATTATACTTCCTTCCTGCTCTTAGAACAATATCCAGTTATTTTAAATGGCCCAAGAAGGTTCTTTATTCTCTTATTTTATTGTCTCTGATTTTTCTCTTTAAGAAGCTTTCGCTTTGTCTTACAGAACCATTTCTTCTTTTTTTTTAAAGATTTTATTTATTTTTTAGAGAGGGAAGGGAGGGAGAAAGAGAGAGAGAGAAACATCAATGTACAGTTGCTGGGGGCCATGGCCTGCAGCACAGGCATGTGCCTTGGCTGGGAATCGAACCTGCAACACTTTGGTTCGCAGCCCACACTCAATCCACTGAGCTACGCCAGCCAGGGCTCCCATTTTCTTTTTCTTTTTTTTTTTTAAATATATTTTATTGATTATGCTATTACAGTTGTCCCATTTCCCCCCTTCTCTCCCCTCCACCCTGTACTCCCTCTCCCACCCACATTCCCCCCCCGCTTTAGTTCATGTCCATGTGTCATACTTATGAGTTCTTTAGCTTCTATATTTCCCATACTATTCTTGCCCTCCCCCTATCTATTTTCAACCTACATTCTATGCTACTTATTCTCTATACCTTTTCCCCCTCTCTCCTCCCATCCCCCTGTTGCTAACCCTCCATGTGACCTCCATTTCTGTGGTTCTGTTCCTGTTCTAGTTGTTTGCTTAGTTTCTTTTGGTTTTACTTTAGGTGTGGTTGTTAATAATTGTGAGTTTGCTGTCCTTTTACTATACATGTTTTTTCTTTATCTTCTTTTTCTTAGATAAGTCCCTTTAACATTTCATAAAATAAGGGCTTAGTGATGATGAACTCCTTTAACTTGACCTTATCTGAGAAGCACTTTGTCTGCCCTTCCATTCTAAATGAGAGCTTTGCTGGATAGAGCAATCTGGGATGTAGGTCCTTGTCTTTCATGACTTGGAATATTTCTTTCCAGCCCCTTCTTGCCTGTAAAGTCTCTTTTGAGAAATCTGCTGACAGTCTGATGGGAACTCCTTTGTAGCTTACTGTCCCCTTATCTCTTGCTGCTTCTAGGATTCTCTCCTTCGTTTTTTACCTTGGCTAATGTAATTATGATGTGCCTTGGTGTGTTTCTTCTTGGGTCCAACTTCTTTGGGGCTCTCTGAGCTTCCTGTATTTCTTGGAAGACTATTTCTTTTGCCAGATTGGGGAAATTCTCCTTTATTATTTGTTCAAATATGTGCTCATTTTGTTGCTTTTCCCCTTCCCCTTCTGGTACCCCTATAATTTTGGTGTTGGAACGTTTAAAGACGTCCTGGATGCTCTTAAGCTTCTCCTCGGTTTTTTGAATTCTTACTTCATCATGCTTTCCTACTTGGTTGATTCTATCTTCCTTCTGGTCCACTGTATTGTTTTGAGACCCAGTTTCCTTCCCTTCACTATTGGCTCTCTTCCGGGTATCTTCATGCATCTCTTTTATGGTATCCTGCATCTTTTCATCTAATTTGCGCCCAAAATCAACCAATTCTGTTAGCTTTCTGATCACCAGTGTTTTGAACTGTGTATCTGATAGGTTAGCTATTTCTTGGTCGCTCGAAAGGATGAGTTCTGGAACACTGATTTATTCGTCTATTTGAGCTGTCTATTTGAGCCATCGCTCTCTCTCTCTCTTTTTTTTTTTTTTTTGGTCTGGTCGCTCTTCTTACGGTGAGGGGCGGAGCCTTAGGTGTTCACCGCGGCTGGGCACCCCAGTCGCTAGGTTGTGACGTTATATGTGGGGGCGGGTGCAGGAGTGGGGTCGGGAGGAAAAAATGGCGGCAGTTCCGTTCTCCCGGGATCTCAGTCCCCTCTCCGGGATCCTGGGCTGCGAGCTCTGCCCTGGTCCACAATCGCTGCCTCACTGGGTCCACCGCAGCTCACGTACTCAGGGACCCCCGCTGCGTTCTTGCGCCCTGGATGTTTTTCGCGCTGATTTCGTGCCAGGTTTTCCCTGTTCTCCGAGTGCTGCTGACCCATGCCCGCCCGGCTCGTCCTCTCGGCCCCGCCTACCAGTCTGGATGAACGGGTCTACTTCAACGTCTTGGCTGTCCGACTTCCATTCAGATAAATCCTCTGTCAGTTCTGGGTGTTATTCTGGCTGTAAATTGTTGTTGTTCTAATCTTGGTTGTGCGAGGAGGTACGCTGCATCCACCTATTCCTCCATCTTGCCGGAAGTCCCCATTTTCATTTCTTGAATATACTGACCCTCTACACATAACTCGCACTCCTTGCAAATGTCCTCGCCCTTATTTTCACTGTTGACTCATCATTAGAGGTCTCTCTTGGGTTCCCCATACCCCGAAATCTTCCTTGCCCTTTTTCTTTTTCCTCAACCCCATACTGTCATAGCATTAAATCATAGCACTTGCTCATTGCTTTAGGTATCTAGTTTTTTATTTGACTGAACCGTTTCAGAGAAAGAAATGTTTTCCACCTGACCTCAATGCTTTCTGCTGCCTGGTGGATACCAGATATTCACAGGAGCTTAAAAACCTTAGCACTTTAAGATCAGTAATAAGAACTCATGAAGCTAATAAAGATATATGAAGGTACTAAAATTCGTTGATGTTTCTGAATTTGATTATGGATTCTGAGGTATGTGAACTGTTGGTTCATAGAAGATTTGATTTAAAATATATTTCAGCAAGATAACTGAAAATCCCATACAAAGACTTTCCTATATATTTTATTTCTTCCTTTTAAATGTGTACACATGCATAGACAGTGAGTCTGCTTTTATATATTTTTATGAAACATATTATCTGTTTTATGATATTAATAGAATAATATAATGCCTGAATTCTAAGAAATCATAGAAAGTCATAATATATAAAGCTTCTGAATCTTATGTTTTTGATGGACTGTAACAGTGAATCTGATTTTTAGTTATATTTGACTTGCCCTCTTATAACTTAAAATGATTTCCTCTTGGAAGTTGGGTAATGCATGTATCTGCTTATCAAAGCCTTCACCTGCAATCTTATATAAATATAAATAGTATCCGTAGTGATTTTCTCCCCCCTTACTTTGTTTTATTGTTTATTTAAGCCCTTACTATACCTGGCATTATATTAATAAAAAAATTATTACCTGGCTAGTGTTTAGAACAGTGCCTGGTTTATAATGGATATGTATCAATTTTTGAACAAGAGGTATAATATTCTCCTATTTTTATATTAGATTTGATACTTCATATTAATTGCATATTCCTTTCTTTAGAATTTTGGCTGCTGATACATCTTGACTCTAAGCTGGAAGTCAAACTTCTAGCTTAGGGAAAAGCTGTATCTCGAGGTTGTTAAAGATCGGTATTTTATAGCTAGCTATCTGAAAGTTCCTAGGAATTATAAAACCAGAAAGCCTTGAGTACTCATCTGATTACTGGCTGTGTCAATTAAGAATCTTTAGGACTTTGTTTAAAAAAATACTTCATTTTTCGTGCCCTGGCTGGTGTAGCTCAGTGGATTGAGCGCAGGCTGCAAACCAAAGTGTCGCAGGTTCGATTCCCAGTCAGGGTACGTGCCTGGGTTGTGGGCCATGACCCCCAGCAACCGGACATTGATGTTTCTCTCTCTCTCTCTTTCTCCCTCCCTTCCCTCTCTAAAAATAAATAAAAATAAAATCTTTTAAAAAAACACTTCATTTTTCTATCATATGTAATTAATGCAAGTATTACTGGAAACTACTGAGTATCAAAAAAAGTATCTTTCAATGTCAGTGTTTAAATAATAGGCTTATTCTTCTCATTTCCAAGTATGTACTGTTGAATTGGTTAATTCACGTGACATAAATCTATATATTTTTCTCTGTCAGGCCTTAGATTTCAGTGATGATGAAAAGGAAAAAGAAGCCAAATACAGAAGAAAAATTCGCATGCAAGGCCGGAAAAAACTAAGATCTGTATTTAATGAGTCAGGTGAGTTAATGCAACATTTAGTAATTTTTTTTATCTTAACTTACATTTATGTAAGTTTATCAGTAATAACACTGAAGAAAACATCAGGGTTTTCTTTTTACCTCCTGCCATCCAGCTAACATTGGGGGTATTTTACAGCAGGGGATGTGGTGGGACAGAGTCACAAGGCAGTTTTTCAAGCTTAAGAATGGGAAAATGGCTTCAAGAGGTAAAAGGCAAACTAAACGTTGTTAGTTATTTGTGCTCATTAGCACTTTCTGTTAAGAAACTTAGTGGCTTCCATATTTAGACTTAAATAATACAGTATTTAGTATCAAACTCAAGGTACTTTATTTTTTAAAATGTGTTTCATTTTATTATACCTTCCCTATTTTGTTTTTCCTTTTGTAAAACTTAACCTTTTGTAGATTGACATGCAGTTGTAAGAAATAATACAGAGAAATCTTATATGCCCATTCCCTAGCTTCCTGCAATAGTAACATCCTGCAAAACTGGACAGTAAAGTGTCACAGCCAGGATATTGCCATCGATACAATCAAGATACAGACCATTTCCATCACAGGAAGAATTCCCTCATGTTGCCTTTTTATAGCCACACAGACTTTCCTCCTTCCCACCACCTCCTCAATTCTTGGCATCCAGTAATCTGTTCTCCAGTTCTATAACATAATTTGTCATGTCAGGAATGCTTATATAAATGGAGTCATTCAGTATGTTACCACTCAGAATTGGGTTTTGTTTCCAAGCGTAATATTCTGGAGATTCATCTAGATTGTTGTATGTGTCGAATTTGTTTCTTTTCATTCCATAGTGGTATTCCATTATGTGAACATGCCACAGGTTATTTAACCATTCATGTACTAAAGGACATCTGGGTTGTTAACAGTTTTTGGTTATAGGAGTGAAGTTGCTTTATACATTTGTGTACAGGTTTTTTTTTTGTGCACACAAATTTTCATTTCTCTGGGATAAATGTCGGAGAGTGCAGTTACTGGATTGTATGAATTGTGTGTGTTCGGTTTCTCAAGAAACTGCCATACTGTTTCTCAGTGTGGCTACATTCCCATCCCCAGTTATGAGTGAGTTTGTTTCTCTGCTTTCTCACCAGCATTTGGTGGTGTCCCTATTTTACACACCGTTCTTGTGGGCGTGTAGTGACGTTGGTGATTTTGACTTGCATTTTCCTGGTGATACTGAACATCTTCCCACCTGCTCCTTTGCTGTCTGTGTATCCTCCTCGGTGATGTGTTTGTTCATGCCTTTTGCCCATTATTTAACTGTATTTCTGTTTTTTAACTTCTGAATTATGAGTTTATATATAATTTCTTCCAGTCTTTAGCCTATGTTTTCATCCTCTTGAAAGGGTCATTTGCAGAATAAAAGTTTTTAATTTTGACAAACCCCAATTTATCAGTTTTTATTTTACGAAGTCTGAGAATTTCTTGCCTACATCTACATCCTAAAGATTTTCTCCTTTTTTTTTTTTTAAAGTTTGCAAAATTATTTTAAGGGTTCTACTTCCTTTCCCTTTCCACATGCATTTTAGAATCTCTATATTGACAAAAAGTCTTGCCAGGATTTTGTTAGGAATTGCATTACACCTTTTTATATATTAGCTCAGAGACAACTGACATCTTTATACTAATCGAATTTTCAATTCTAAAATTTCTATTTCTTTGTATAATTTTTTTGTGCTTAGGCTTTTTATTTGTTTTAGTTCTAATTTCTTGTTGAAGTGTTTTTATGATGACTGTTTAAAAATATTTCTCAGATAATTCTAACATTTTGTCATCTTGGTATTGGCCTCAATTAAGTTTGCATTTTCATTGAGTTCAAAGTCTTCATTCTTGCTGTGATGAGTGATTTTTAATGAAATCTGTACATGTTGGGTATTATGTTATGAAATTCTAGATCTTATTTAAATCTTCTGTTTTAGCAGTCTTGTTTTTAAAACTGCTCTGGCAGGGAAAGGAAGGGGGTGTCACATTATTACTATTAGTGCCAGGTAGGGATAAAAATCCAGGTTTTCTTCTCAGCCTGTATTGGCACCTTACTGCCGGGCAAGGAGGGGAGGACTGCCTCCTTACTGCTCCTCTGACCACAGTGGGTGATGGCCTCGCTACTGCTGGGCAGTGACCAGAGTCCTGACTCTCTACTAGTTCTCCTCTGACACCACCTAGTGCGGGAGGTGGAGGGACACTGTGTGCCTGCCAGTGGAGGTATAAGTCCAGGTCCCCCGTGTGATCGCCAGTATCGTTGCAGGAGGCCTTCGAGCCTGGTGACTGGCTCCCTATTCAGCCTGCACCCCAGGGGGAGGTCGAGGCACCTCGTTACATCCTGTCAAGGGGGGAAGTCTGGTTCCCCACTCAGCCCTTGAGAGAGTGAACAATAGTGGTATCTGGTTTTCTCTGTGCTGCCTGGCTGGAGTCTAGTGGTTGTTGTCTGAAAGGTTTCCGTCTTGCTAGGCTTTCTGTTTCCTGATTGTCTGGCCTTTTAGATTCTTTACAATGGGTCATTTTAAGCCTTATGCATTTTTAAATACCGTAAGATATACTTGGAAATTAAAGGCATTATTGAAATTGTAAACAGTGTTTTTAATTTATTAAAATTAATTTTAATTTTATTTTTATGCTGTTTTTTTAACCCTGCTCGAAGGTGGAAATTTGGCAGAAGTGCATCAGAATTGGAATGTTTCAGAGCATTCAAAAGGATACCGCAACAGAGAATTCACACGAGGATTTCCCCGGGGCCGATATCCCCGACCTTGGCATGGCAGACCCCCACCTCCACAGTTTTATAACTCAGAGTGTATGGTATCTCAGGAGCCTTCGGGATTTCCACCTCAGAGACAAGAGAATTTCATGCCACACTATCCCTTTCCTCCTCCGATGTTTGACATGCATAATTTTTCACTCCCTCCTCCACTACCACCTCCTCCTCCCCCTCCCCCACCTGTGTTTGTAAACATGGGTTGGGCTGCACCTAACATGGCACCCCCCATGCCCTACTCCATACCCCCGCCGCCTCCCCCCCCACCGCCGCCCCCACCCCCCTCTTCTGGAGACAATAATTATTCTCATTTTGGACCTTACTATTAGGTGAATAAATGCATTTCCAGAGAAATGTAGACTTCTTTATATGGGAAAGATTTTTCTTTTATATGGGAAGGATTTTTTTTTAAAAGAAAGTGATTATGGATCTAGATTTTTAAAGCATTGTCAAAAAACTGAATGCTTCCTTTAGTCGTAAGTTGATATATATTTATAACATTGGTGAAATTGTATCCGTATGAAAATTTCATTTTAGATTTGTAGGGGGGAATTCCAATGATGTAATATTTAATTAAAACTTTGAATCCGTGCGTTCCACACCCTGCCCAGTTAAACAGTGTGTACAGGTTCAGTCATAGATCTGGAGCAACTCTCGTCACGGATAAAGGAGACTGAGCGTACCCATTATCTTGTTGGTATATCTGAACATGTGATGTTGGAGTCCTCTTGCGAGTCTCTAAAATAAACTATTTTTATAAACTTTGGAAATTGATTTTGATTGTAATTGCGAATTGCCAGTGACATTAAATGTTGTAATTAAGAAACAAGTGTACAGAGAAGGAAAGTCTCATATATTGGCAGAAGCTGTGACTGTAATTAAAGCTTTTCATTATCTGTGCAGATTTTCATTATTTGGAAATGAAATTCCTTTTCGGGAGACTTTACTGTTGAACCATGTAGAAGAACACAGAGATTATTCACAATAAAATGTTATGCACTCACAGTCAAATGTACCTGACCCTGTGCTGGGAGACCGCATCTTCCACGTCTGTTCCCAGACCCTCACATGCGTGGTCCAGGTCAGGTGCTTCATAAATACTTAATGAATGACTGAGTTTTTATTAATTCATTAATGACCAGTGAGTATTATTTTACACCCTGAAATGTAAACGTAAGGGAGATTATGGAATTTTAGAAGTTGGGGAGACCCTAGAAGTAGTCTAAACTAGTCCTCATTTTTAATAAACAAGGAAGAGCCAGCCTAGCTAAGGGTTTCAAAGGGTTAAGTAACTTAATGAAGGTCACTCTCAGTGAGATGGCAAGGACTTGAACCTAGTGTTTTCGATTCTCAGATCAGCACTTTCTACGAAATTGGTGCTTCACAACTTCCTTGACTTTCTTAGAAAATAATACATGCATGCACACCAGGGTCTTCGTGCATCACCGCCCTCAGCCTCCGGGTGCAGCCAGGCCCCTTGTCACCTCCCCGTGGGTGGAGGAGTCTCTGCAGTTGAGAAACTCTTGCTTCCATGTACACTGACATTGTCACGTGTTATACTTTCTTATTCTTGAAATGTTTTTGTAGCTTCTCTAGAAGCTACAGAATCTCATGGATTATGGCACAGTCTTTTTCAGGTTGACAGGATATTGTCAGAGTCAACACGAGATTATATCTGAAAGCACTGAAAAACCCAAACCTTTTTTCTACAAGAATGGGAAGAGTAAGATGTTACCATCCAGGGATGGTAAATCAAGTTGTTTTCATTGCCATGGTGTTTAAAAAAATCTCTGAACTCTGTACATCAAGTACTGGTGTCTGACAGATATTTAATATCTAAAGAAACAGCCAAATGATGGTATTTGATGTCTGCTTTCAGTTAAGGTGCTACCTTAGGCACTTAGATTTGAGTTGCCTTGTACTCTGTTCTGGGTTTTTTGAAACTTCAGGCTGCCTGAAAATCACCTATAATTATCACCTAAGTTTTGGATAGGTTATTAAAAATAAACATTCTTGGACTTTAACCCAGACTCAAGTCAAGTAGATCTGGCTGAGATGAGATTTAGGAAACTATTTTTAACAGATACCCCCTGGGTGATTAACTTCAGGTTTTAGTCTTTGTGTTGATTTCAGCATAAATACACTACTTCAGCTTCTTGGCCAGTCACTATGGCACTTAAGGTAGTAGGAGTGTGGTGAGGAAGAGGGAGTTGATAGGTAAGAAGAGAAAACCATAGCTACTTAAATTTTATCCGTAGCCTCTCGCTTGGTTCTCAGAGCTATAATGTATCAACTACATCTGTCTCTGGAGATGAGGAGGAGTACCCATTTTCTCTTTTATCTGGAAGAGAAATACTATGTTCATCACCCTACCTTAAGTTTACAGCACAGCTTTAAAATTGTGTGGCCCCAGATCTTTTAAACTGCTAGCTGGTGTGAAGACAAATACAATGTTCTCAGAGTTGCTCCCTTGAAATACACTGTTTATGTTAGCCTTTTCCTGTGATAAAATAGACATTCACATGATGGAGTATGGGAAACACCTTAGTATATCTGCAGTTTAACTGTAAAGTTGTAATTGTTGCCTAAAATATTTGCTTTATTGAGATGAAGAACACTGTATCTTCTTTCTTCTACAGAGAAGATAGTGAGGTCCGTGGTAACTGGATGACTTGCCCACTTAACTAGAAATAGGTATTGAAAAAACTTGATTGAGACCATCTAGTGGAAACCTGGAATAGGACGTGCAATTTCAGAATTTACCAAAAAGCATTTTTTAAAAGCCATGTAGTTAACTCACAAGGGCAGATACCAAATATAATCATCTTTTCTGTATAGCTAATAATTAGTAGACTCTAATTGTCAGTACTAACTGGACACAGGGCAGATGGCAGGGGACCTGTGTGCAGCGGTCTCCCTTGTTTGGGGGCAAAGAGCAGTACAGAAGTTTTCTTTCGCTTCTGCCTCACATTCTGATTTTTCACTCCCTGCTCTCATTCTCTGCGACTTGTTTACTATTTTGTTGCTGGCTTAGAGTTGGTGAGCACTATGTACATTAAACCATTCAGGGCATTTGATGAATACAAAATGAGTAGAACCTGACTTCTGATCTAATGTAATTTTAATCCAATAAGTGGTATTTTAAATCCCTGGGGGCTGAGGACAAGATTTCTTAACAATCATGACTTGGGGACACAGAATCTCAGGCATGACATGTCATTCATATATATATTGCCATTCAGCAGTAATGTTGCCATTTGCATTCAGTTTTAACAATTTACATAAACTTTAAGATGATAAGAATAACTGGTTTCATTGCTTCCTACTAGTTCTTTTACTCAGTGGCCCCCTGTGCATTCTTCCCTGTTGCAGAAAAGGTGGCCCACCCCTTTGGACAACACAACGCAGGGAATGTAAGCAGAGGAAGAGACATCATTCCTTAGGTGCGTACTCGTCACCCTTGCCCAGTCGGTTTCGTGAAAGGCTCAACAACATTTTTTTTACCTGGGAATTCTTCATGCTCAGGGTATTTAGAATTTTTCGAAATAGTTACGTACTTCAATAGTTAAGTGCTGGGGAAAATACATTAGTATGTTGTTGAATACTAGATCCTTTTAAAACTAGATTAACATTTGGTAGAGTGAAGTTGTGTGCTCACAAAATATGCATTAATAAATTCTGTGTTCTGATATTTGCATATTTGATACCAACAATAATAAGCTGTGAGATATAACTATAAAAAGATACTTTAATGGAATCAAAGCTAGAAAATAAAAATCATAAAAGAATTATGAGAATCTATTTTCAGGTAATATTGCAGCTACACTATAAATGAATACATTTAGGGTAAAAAAACCCACACACATTAGTGTCCTTTTCTGCAGACGAATTGCCAATATTCTAAAAGCCTTTCTCTATTCCTCATTGTGTGACTTAGTCTGATCCTAAATTTATGTAGCAATTATGTTCCAGAAAACCAAGGAAACAGTTACTGTAGTGTTCTTAAAATTAAAATTGAGAAACATCTTGTTAATAGCATCTATCAAACCAAAGTACTTGTTTTGAGCTACTAGCAGCAATGAAATTACGTATCATTGACTCAGTCGTGTGCTCTGCACCAAAATTGTTACTATTGGTGGGTTAGACCTGTATAGTTACTTAGTGTCTTGGAAGTGAGGTACAAATTTGTGTTTCCAGTGGTAAAATAATAAAGATAACCAATGAAGAAAAATATCAAAGTTTTCTGCACATTCAATAAGCAAATATGTATATATTTATATATTATATGTACTTATATATGTATACACATACAGATATTGGAAGCCTAGTACAAAAAACATGCATACTTTAGTTGGTCAGTACCTTTAATTTCCACCCGTAATGTTGGTGAAATGGGAATAGTTATTACATTGGCTTATTTTGTAGTTGGTTGTATTATACCATCCCTCAAACAGAACAGATTGACCTCATGTGGTAAGAGCTTTTTATTTATATTTGAGGCTCGATGGGCTAACCATTGTTTCTAGTAAGGCTTATGACCCAAATAAAAATAATAGCATACAACAAATAGAAAGGAATAAAATCTTTAGCATAGAATCCTTATTAAAATGTGAAATGTGATAAATAGATGATGGTGGTCTGTAATGTTTGGATGGTAGAGATGAACATCTGAAATGCTCTCAGTGTCATAGGCACTACAGTGTGCAAAACCTGTTACTGCATCTCCTAAAGCCTCCCATTGTGTGGTCCAGTGATGTTCAGGGGTGCTGGGAAAACATTTGCTCTCTGCTTGTCCCACCGCTGTCTGCAGATACCTGTTTGACTACATACACTCCGTGAAGAGTTTCGTCTCGGATAGGGTTTAGGACTGCCAGGCTTAGTTGTGCAAGCTGTCTCAGTAGCTGGCGGATTTATTCAAAGCAAATGATTTTCTTGAACATCTGTTTTTTCTTTATTTTATTTTTCAATCACAGTTTACATTCAATATTAGCTTGTGTCTGTTTCAGGTACAGATTGTAGTGGTTAGACAGCCATGCTTTACAAAATGATCCCCCTGGTATTTAGTTCAGTTACCCATCTGGCAGCACACATAGTTACCACAGTGTTACTGACTATATTCCTTGTGCTGTACTTTGCATCCCCATGGTTATTTTGTCACTACCAATTTGTACTTCTTAATCCTTTACCTTTTTCACCCTGTTCCCCAACCCCCACCCCACCAATCTGGAAACCGTAAGTCTGTTCTCTGTATCTGTGAGGCTATTTTCTATTTTGTTCATCTCTCAGTTTGGTTTTTGACCAAGTATAATTCTTACTATATTCATTGGCAGCAGCAGAAATTAATGAATTCTATTTAGCAAGATTATGGCAGAAAAATATTTAAGAACAGAAGAAAATAACTGTAGGCTTTAACTTGATGGATAGATTTAAAGGTTAGTTTGAACCATATGAAATATTTTGCAACCAGTGATTTCATATGATTCAGTCTTATATGTGGGCTCTAGAATATATTCCTGTATTTAGTTTTCTTCCTAGAACATCTCCCTGTACGATTTCTCTCCAGGATGCATTTTGGGATATACTGTCATAGCTGATAGCTGGCAGAAATTCACGGAAGGGCACATTTCTAAGAGAAAGCATGTCATGCTAAGAAGACAGTCTGTTAGAAGAGTGTGGGGCCTGGAAGCACTATTAAAATATTTTGTATTAGGCTAAGAGAAAGAAAGGGGCTGGAGTCTCCAGGTTTCCTTCTTCCGAAGAGGTCTAACAATACAAATATTTCTGAAATTTCATAACCCAGAAATCCTTTAAATTTTTTTTTATTATGGACACCTGAGAACATATGCGCAGACAACCATTTTGATAACATTGAGTTAAGAAACAAAATTTCATTCTA